ATACTTAAACAAAAATAACAAACTAAGAAGATTCCGAAACACTAAGCCACTTGAAAGAATCAAACGTAAAACGAAACTGAAGCTTAAATATTTGAGTATCAAACTTCCATTAACGTTTGCACATTAGCTCTAATGTTACAGGTATCATCCTATTCACTTCCACTCCAGGGATTCGAAGGTGTACCTGGATATAGCAAAACAAAACCAAAATGTGCTTGAAGTCAACTATTAGCAGCAAAGCAGTAGCAGGTTCACAGCAAAGAACAACAATGGAAATAAACTCAAACAGCCTAAAAAACCAGCTTCATTTCAACTCAGCAGTCCAGAAAATACCCAGAAACTACCACTTCCAAACCCTTTAGAGAAAAAGAAATCCAGCTCAAAATTATAATAGAAAGAAGATTTTGCCGTTTTTCTATTTTTGATGTTCTGATCCCTGCCCTAGAATTCAGGGAAATGAGACTCTTATAGAGGGGTATTAGGACAACAGAGATTGATTTTTTACCTTTAGGTCCTCCCCCTTTTTTTACTTAAAGAAAAATATCTGAATCCCCCCTTTTCTTGGCATGCAAGCCTTCTCTTACTTTTAGAAGCTTCCTTCCTAACCGAAAAGATTCTCTTAACCCAAATTCCCAAAGTACCCCGTGACAGTCTGGTATTTAATTTCCAAATTGAGTCAATCATGGGTCAATTGACCCAAGACTCAAGCCCATATGAATAGGCTCCTTCTGCCCAGGCCAGAGATGACCATGAATCCCCAAACATAGCAAGATGAGAAATTAACGAAATTAAACTAGATTATGACCTAGAAACTTATCCCAATTATCTTTAATTAACAGATTAAACAAACTAAGACATAAGATTTTCTATAGTTAAACAAGAGCAGGTCAGACAAATAGTCGATTAACCTTTGTGCATTTAGTAAATTATTCCAAGTAACTTACAACAAACAACTAAGTGTAAACACCTAATCACAAACCAAAATTATGGAGAAGAAAAGAACAACCATGCAAATTTCTAAAATTAAATCCTAATTAATCTAAGTTCTGATGCAAACAAGAGATTTAACATGTTTCCATTAGCACAAAAGCGGAATGAACAGACAGAACCAAAAAATAAAAGAACACTGTCATCATGCAACGAGAAAGAACTGAAGAGAAAGGAAATCACCTAAAGCTTATTTTGGACTGGACCGACTAAACGTCTTGACCAAACTTAACGGGGCAACAATGGACGACCATTAATCATGTTCTTGACAAGAAAAGTTGACTAATGGAAGTTTTAGGTTCAAGTGCCCAGAAACTGACCGAAAAATCGACAAAGGAAAAACTAGGGTTTAAACTTCAGATCTGAAATTGGAGCGGTTTGGGGAGGATTCGAAGGAATTGGCTTGGGGATTTAGAAAGGGGAGAAGACGGGGGTTGACTGGTTAAAATTTGGGGCCATTTTGAGAAGTTGCGCCGCCGTGAGGGGATTTCCGGCGGCGGAGGGCGGTGGGGGGAAGTTGGGGCGGCTAGGGTTTCTTTAGGTTTGGGTGTTAGAGACAGAATGAGGGGGTTTCGAATAAGGGGGGGGGGGATTAGTCTTGTTAGGATAATTTTATATTGGGGGGGGGGGGTTAAGTTAGTTACGGACCGTTGGATCACTAGGATCCAACGACTATGATGAAACAAAGGCAAAACGGGGTCGTTTGGTGGTGGGGGAAGTTGGACCTGGTATTTAAATGTTTGGGCTTGGATTTGGGCGGTTATTTGGGTGTAAAACTGGCCCAATTAACTTTCAAAATCCAGCTCTTTTTCTCTTTTTCCTTTTTCAACTTTTCTCTTTTTTCTTCTTCTTTTCTTTAATTAGATAAAATTCTAAATTAAATTCCTAAATTATCTACATTGTAAAATTACACTAATTGTCTAATTAAAATAATTATAAAGATTACTTACTCCTAAATAAAAAAAAAATCACTAATCTAAAAATTAAAGGTAAAATGTAAAAACGAGCTATTTTTTATTTTTATTTTTAATGAGATACCTAATTTTACTAATTAATCCTAAAAATATGAAAACAAAATCTCAATGTAATGCATGGCATTTTTTTGTATTTTTTCATGATTTTAATAAACGTAAACATGCACAGACAATGCAAGCAATTAACACAAATTCCTACAAAAATCCTATAAAATTGCAAACGGTTGGAAGAATTTATTTCTTTGATTTGTAGGAGTATTTCACATAGGGCAAAAATCACGTGCTCACACATCTCAACCAACAGAAATAACAGTTACAACAAGAAAACCACAACTTAGGCTAAGTCCGAGTCGAGGAAGAACAGGAAATTTCACTAAACATGCTACACAGAGTTCAGATAGGCAGTTAAGGCACGTAGACATGCTTTTCTAAATTAAACAGGATAACTACATAGGCTAGTGTAGCTCAATTTAAGGGAGACAGATATTTTACTTAATGAAAACGGAGTTTTTTTTCCAGCAAATAACCTGTGTACGCACTCGTCACCTCACATACACGGGGCTCATATATCAAACAGTACCAAATCCTAAGGGGAGTTCCCCCACACAAGGTTAGGCAAGCCATTTATCTCGAACCAAGCTCAATCAATCCGAAACAATGCTCTTTCCACGAATATCCATCTCCGGATGGCCCAAATCTAGCCAAATCAATTACATAACATAAATATAGCTAAAAGCAACTAATTTAGCTAATGAAATCAAAGTTAAGACAAGAAAATAGAAAAACGCCCAAAAATTCTCCCCGAGCCCACGTCTCGAAATCGGGTAAAAGTCACAAATTATGAACACCATTCACTCACGAGTTCACTCGTACAAAAATCATCCAGAACCAACACCTAAATCCCACTCTAATCTCAAATTTTTTTGGTTGGGGAACTTTTCCCCCAATTTCCCAACTTCCTCACTCAAATTCATTAATTTAATGAAGAAAACAACTATGGATTAATGAAATATGATCAAAACAGGATTAGGAATCGTTACCCAATGATTTCCTCTGAAAAATTCTCAAAAAATTGCCTTCCTCCGAGCTCTAAATCGAATTTTGTGAAATGAATTTCTAACCCTCAAATCTGCCTTTTTCTGCCCGGCGATTATTGCACCTGCGGGCCAAGGATCGCATCTGCGGTCCCGCACATGCGGAATTTCCATCGCAGGTGCAGCTTTTCACTTAAAGCACCTCGTCCGCATCTGAGATCAATTGTCGCACCTGCGTGTGCGCACCTGCGGACCCTTGTCCGCTTCTGCGGTCCCAGACCGCTCCTGTGGTTCCTTCTCTTCGCACCTGCAGGCACCGCAGATGCGGAACTCCCCTCGCACCTGTGATCCCAGACCTCCTTCCCCTTTCGACTTCTGTGGCTCCGCACCTGCGGCCTAAAGTGCGCAGGTGCGAAAACACCAGGTGCAACAACTTCAGCAATTTGCATGAGTCTTACACCAATCCGTTAACCACCTGAAACTCACCCGAGGTCCCCAGGACCTCAACCAAACATACCAACCAATCCTAAAACATCATACGAACTTAGTCAAGCCCTCAAATCACATCCAACAACGCTAAAAACACAAATCATCCTCCAATCCAAACTTAATGAACTTGAAACTTCTAAATTCGACAACTGATGTCAAAATCAACCAAACCACGTCCGTTTGACCCCAAATTTTGCACACAAGTCATATTCAGCCCTATGGACCTATTCCAATTTCCGAAATCGGATTCCGACCCCGATATCAAAAATTTCACTACGGGTCAGAATCTCCAAAAATTTGACTTATGCCATTTCAAGCCTAAATAAGCTACAGACCTCCAAAACAGAATCCGGACACACCCCTAGGCCCAAAATCACCCAACGAAGCTAACGGAATCGACGAAACTCCATTCCGGTGCCGACCGTTCCGACTACGGTCCAAATTCTAAGACTTAAGCTCTCATTTAGGGACTAAGTATCCCAAAATACTCCGAAACTCAAAACGAATCATCCCTGCAAGTCACAATAGCAGAAATAGATACGGGGGAAGCAGTTAATAGGGGATCTGGGCGTTAATTCTCAAAACGACCGGCCTGGTTGTTACACTTAGCTTATTGGAGCAAAAGAGACTTCCTTAAAATGTACCTAGCACAGAAGAAAAAATTCAAAATAACTCATTATCCAAACTCATCCAAAAAATTGCGATGCTAGTGCGCAAGGCTATGAGACATTTTTATTATCTTATTTCTTCTCCTCCATTTCAGCTTCAGCTGCTCTCTTCAACCTCGCACCAACATGACGCGCATTTATAAGCTCAATATGCAGCTTGCCATATGCATTGAATGATTTCATTTCATCAGTTACCTTCACAAGCTCAATAACTGGCTGCTCCCAGCAAGTAATGGTCATGTAAGCTCCCATGGTTCATACAACAATTACAACAACAAACCCAGTTTGATCCCATGGTTCATAATATAACCAAATACTAGTTCTTTAACTTCAAATTTGAGGAGACATTCTGGTTTCTGAAACCCATTCTAATGGAATTTGTAAGATAATTTATATTTAAAGTTCCTTTTTATTCTCTATATTTTCAGTTGTTATGTCTTTACTGCAGGTGGAAACTCGACTACCTTGATTTCTGCAAATCGTTTATCCTTATAGAGTCTAGTGTGAGCAGTTAAGATGCCTCTTTTCTAGAAGCGTATAATCTTATCTTTGGTGAAAATATGAGATTATACCATGAATTGGCATATTTTTGGAGAAATGAAAAATGCCAAAGTAACTCTACCTACTATCTTCTTGAATTGATGGTTACGAATAGTAGGATGTGTCATCATTTCCTTTTGTTTTTCTTTTCATTTCTCTTTTTACTTGTTTAACTTACACCACAGGATTACTGGAAAATCGGATAAGGCTTCAGCCAATAACAACTACAATGAGTTGCATCCAAGAAGAAGCAGCACCATGATCAGAAGGAGAATTTGGGGTAAAGAAATGACACAGCTGCATACTTCTAAAAATATATATATTTGATTATTCGTTTCCAAAACAACTACAAACTGAAAGCATGTAAAAGTGTATTATTTTGATGCAGAAGTAGAAATGGCATGGCCTTACTACAGGACGACGAAAGGAAAGAATCTGCATGCAGCTACAGTGGAATTGGGATTGCTCGTAGAGGTTGGGCTTTCAGCGAAGTAAGACCAAATTTTTCATCCATGTTCAAGTCTTTAGGATCAATTCCACCATCTAATTTCCAATTAAATTTATTTATCAATGAACCTAGCACTACCAGAATCATCCTTTCCGCCAAAGGCAATGCAGGACAAATTCTTCGACCAGCACCAAATGGAATGAGCTCAAAATCCTGACCACGAAAATCTACTTCTGACTCCAAAAACCTCTCCGGCTTAAAAACCAATGGATCATCCCATATATTAGAGTCGCAACCTATAGCCCACGCATTGACAAGTACTTGTGAATTTTTTGGAACAATATAGCCACAAATCTCAACATCTTCCTCAACTTTTCGCGGAATTAAGAAAGGAACTGGGATGTGTATTCTTAATGTTTCTTTCACTATGCATTGCAAGTAAAGCAATTTTGCAACATCAGCTTCTTCTACCAGTTTGCCTTTACCAATTAAATCTGCAAGTTCTTCTTGGGCTTTCTCTAAAATTTGTGGATTCTTAAGTAATTCTGCCATTGCCCATACTAGTACACTTGATGTAGTTTCTGTCCCTGCTACAAATAAGTCAAATAACAAGCGCTCAATGTGAATCCCATCAAGCTCTTCTGGCTATCTTTGCTAATGTTGAGAAGTACGTCTAAAACATCACCCTTTGTATCAATTCTTAGTTTCCTCTCTTGTAGTCGTTCATCGATCAAACGTTTGAAAAGGTCCAAGACTTTTGTCGCGTGATTGGTAATGAGACGCCTTATACCTATTGAGACATAATATAATTCTAATTAATTAATTAATAAAAAGTCTACTCTGTCTAATAACTTTAAACTTTTAGATATTCACAAAAATTATTTTCATATATTTGGTCCCTAAATAGAAACAGTACATAGTGAATTCAGCTAGCTATTTGTGTAAATTAAGATCCTAACAATATTAGGCTAAAAGTGAAAAGATATGTTGGGACATAATAATAGTAAAAATAGCATGGGCTAGCCAGTTTTCGGACCGGTCATTCAAAAATAATCAGCGCTTGCAAAATCATTAAAAAATAGCCACTATTTTGCTGTAACATGGAAAGTTCCAGCATAATATACTGGAGATCGGTGCACCTGTGTATGAACTTCCAGCATATTATGCTGGAACTCCAACATAAGGTTAACTTAAAAGTTTCTTTATCAATGTCCACTGACTCACAATCTTGACTACACTTGTAACAATAATCAATCAATTCTTGGACTTTCCTTGATCTAAGAAAATGATTAGAATCAAGCTTGTTGCGGGAGAAGATGTTAGAGTTCATGATTTTGCGTAACGTTCTCCAGCGGGAGGGTAAAAAAACTGAAGAAAAATCGGAGTGGTTGAGGGCGCGGACCGCGTTAGGGATGGATCTATTGCAAAAGGCAAGATCTTGCTTTTGTAGGACTTGTTTTGCTAAGATTGAAGAAGAAATGACCAAGGTGTTTTTTTGGCCTAATTTGAGATACATAATTTTTGCTAGGCGGGCAAGTGATTTGTGGGGTTGGTCAGTAAGCAAGTGGACATTTCCAATAATAGGCAAAGGGAATGGACCTGGTGGAAGTCTCTTCTTCACTCTTCTAGAGGTGGCATTTAAGAATACTGTTATGGTAAAACAAATGCAAGTTGTTCCAATAATTAGAATAAAAATTCAAACTTCACACAATATTATAAAGTTAACCTTAAGAGAATCATTACCTTCCAGATTTTGTTATTCTTTATACAAATTATAAATGATATCGTTTCTATTATATATTCAATAATTTCTTTTCTTAACGATGATGAAGGAACCACGTTAAACTAGACACATTAGATTAGCGCGTAAATCGTAAAATATAAATGCATATTGTCTACAAGCTTCACACGGTAATATTTTAAAGTCAACCTTAAGAGAATCATTATATACTCTATAATTTCTTTTCTTAACGATTATCTTCTTTCGCCCAGTTTGAAGCCATTGCAAGCCTTGTGACCCGTTGGATCTCTATTCTACCTTCTCTGTACGAGAAAGTCATGATTTCCTCTGAGAAACAAAATATTAACTAGAACGATAGAAGAAGAAAAGAAGAGAGAAGTGAAAAGTTAAAATGATTTGGAAGTGCCAGCGAATCTTTACTAAGTAGTACTATAATTTTAGGAATTTTAATATCAACTAGCTAGTAACAAGTTTTGAATAATTACGATCCAATCACAAAACATTTAATTGCTAAACACTTGGCCAAAGTCCCATTTTCTTCCTTCAAGACGTGAGGGATATCTTTTCGCCCCAATCTCCTCAAGAAAATAATGTCTGCCAGATGGCCATGACTCATGAGTAAAATAAACTATTATTATGGTAAATTCCAGTAAGGCAAGGCAGCCTGGCAAGGGCTTGACAACAAGATGCGGGCTGCGAGTGACACTTGATCATGGCAAAGGCATCAATGCATGAGGCAGTTATGCCAAGGCCAGCAAGGAAAAAACCGAAGTGTGCAAAGGCAGGCTAAGTGCAACGAAGGCATGCACGCGAGGCAGACTTGTCATGACATTGGGGCGCGATAAAAGGCCATGTGTGTGGGTAATGGCATGGGCTAAAAATGGCTGCAATGCATCTGAGAACAAGGCATTGGCGCCTGATTCAAGCCAAGGCACGCACAAGGGCAGCAAGCTTCAGATTGAACAAGTCAAAGGCCGTTACACGGCACATGCTGTGCACATGGGCTGCAGTTGGCTTTTGCTAAAAGCTGGCAGATTTTGTTAGCACGTTTTTGGGGGCATGTTTCCATTATTATTAGCATGATCTACATGATCCTAGTAGTTGGGGAATGTCAACTACACTAGGCTAAAATGGTGGGCTGTGTGGGACAAGTGTCTAAGCCTAAATTGCGATAAGTGTAAGGCGAAGGGGTTGTCTCATGTGTTATAAATAGGCAGCACCCTTATACTTGTGGCACAAGAGAAAATGTGTATGAGTACATGTTTGAGTTAGGAAAGAGTTCCTAAGTCTGTTTTCAAGAGTGAAAACACCTAAGGCTAAGAGTAGTCTTGTGAGAAAAATCTGAGGGTCAAGAGTGATCTTCTTTGTACACAGTTGTACTTCGAGTTTGAGTTTCTTTGTATTTTTAAGTTAAACACAAAGTTGGAAAAATAGTTTCCTGTATATTGTGCCTTATGTTCACGTTTTATTTCTGTCACCTTACTTAAATTCGTTGCCTAAAATCAGTCCAAAGACTTACTACGTTGAAATCTGCCTAAAAATATTCTAAGTCCAAAGTTGCTGTAATTTTGGCTGAGTGTTGTGAGAAGGCTGAAGTCAAGTGCTGGGCTTGGCTGTCGCACAGGCTGGTTTTGCCGGACAGAACCCACGTCCATGACAACTGGTATCAGAGCGGAGCAGGTTCGTGACAGAGACATGACGGCCAATGGCAGATTTCGTGGTCTTGTTCGAGAACATGGCTGATGGTAATAACGAACTACGGGAAAGGCTAACGAAACTGGAGCTATTGATTGAGAAGGTCCCAGAAGGTGACAAATTTCAGACTCTCGTGATAAGGCTTGCCTACCTTGAGGCAAAATTGGCAAGGCTAAAGTCAAGACAATGCGGATCTGAAAAGCGAGACAGTGATGCTGCGAACCAGAGGTTCTCTTTCACAAAGGTCTTCTTCTAGAGGTAAGGAATCCTCTAGAACCAGAGGTTCTCTTTCACAAAGGTCTTCTTCTAGAGGTAAGGAATCCTCTGAACCTCTAGTGGAAGAGATAGTTCCTGCGGAACTATCTTTCTATAATGATAGAGAGTCCCTTAGAAATCAAGTGTCCTCTTTAGATCGTGCTGATATCTACCCAACTCAGANCTAGTTCCGGCTCCTCTTCTAGAACCAGAGGTTCTCTTTCACAAAGATCTTCTTCTAGACGTAAGGAACCCTCTGAACCTCTTCGTGAACCTCGGTGGAAGAGATAGTTCCTGCGGAACTATCTTTCTATAATGATAGAGAGTCCCTTAGAAATCAAGTGTCCTCTTTAGATCGTGCTGATATCTACCCAACTCAGATCACTGAAGGCCTGATTTTTTTAGTTCGTAAAGACTGCCATGGAGTCATGACTTCCCCATCATAATTCCCAATGCGAATCAAAGAATCACCTCCTATTTAACGGGATTTTCCTTTGTTTATACATATCCTTTCACCTTAGGATTCAAACCTGTTATTGATCATGTCATCCTAGAATTCTGTCAATTTTTCGACGTCTGTTTAGGCCAGATTAGCCCTATAGTGTGGAGGGTTGTTGCCTGTTTGAGGCATTGGACTAATATGGCTGGTGTGCCTTTTACTTTCTCCCATCTAATTCATATTTACTCTCCCAGACTCTTTCGCCACGGTGTTTTCACTTTAGTAGCAAGGAGCAAAAGAGTTCTGGTCAGTCCAGAGGGTGACAGAGATGGTGGCTGGTACGCCATGTTTGTTGCTGCCCCCACTGTTGGTTTGGTGGCTGATGGAAATGTTCCCTTCCCCGAGAAGTGAAATTTTGCACGTGAGTTTTATTTTAATAACTTTCTCGTACCTTTTTTCTTCAATTTTGATGATTATTATCCTAATTTTCCTTTTCTTTTCCAACAACCATGGGAATTGTTGACGATATTCCCAATTTCCGTGGTTGGGTAGGAAAGCTGTTGAATACTGCCCCAATGGAGGGTAGATCTTGGAAGACTCTTTCCCAACGATTTGGTTGGAAAGTGAAAACTTATGGTAAAAGTTTTTTTTTCTTTTATATATTGCTTTTTCCTGAACTTATTTTAATCCTTCTTTCTATTAGGATTTGCAGTTCGAGGGATTAGTGTTGAGGCGGTCGGAAAGGGCCCAAGAGATAATTTTGGGCTCTTCATCGAAAAGAAAAGCTGCTGATGACCAAGACTCTGAAGAAGAGGAAGACGGGGGTTCTTTGTTAACAAGGCCACGAGTTCGTAGACGTATCATTTCTGATGATGAAGCATCTCCCCCCCCCCCCCATTCTATTCCTCTTGCCGAGTCTATCGAAGCCCCCGTGGTGATCCCTGATGATGATGTTGATGATGTTCCCGCTGCTGCTCATGATTCAGTTGAGCAGCTTTTTAACCGCGGGTTTGGTAGTGAAAAATTAGGTCCGGTTTCTGATGAGGCACCCCTGGCTTCTTTTTCTACTTTCGTTCCTATGATTCCTTAGATCGTGGCTGTTTTGGTTCCTCCCCAGGCTGTTTTGACTGCTTCTACTGTTCCTCCTTCAACAATTCCCCCTCTATCTGTTCATCACACTGAGGTTGGTTCCTCGAGTAGGGGTGCTGCTATGAGACAAGTCACCATTGAAGTTCCTGCTGAAGGTAATCTTTTAAGGAAATCAGGTCAAGCAAACGTGTGGCTAAAGCCTTTGATTGGTCCAGTTGAAAGAGCTAAGCTTGATAGCCACAGTTCTTTGACCTTGATGAACGATATAGTGCATGCTTCTTTAAAGGTATCCCTTTTTGAAGCTTTACTTTATCTTTTTTCTATTTTTAGAGTTCTCATTTTTCCTTCTCTTTTTTGTTTAGGTCAATTTAATTCGCACGGAGATGATGAAAAGAGTTACCCTCTCAGAAAAATTAGTGCGTGACTACCAAATGGAGGCGGATAATTGGAAGGAACAGTATGACAGTCTTCAAATCGATGTGGAAACCTTAGAAGAAAGTAAAAGTACCTTGGAGCAGCAGGTACGAGCTTTGACTTCAGAGTTGGCAGTTGAAAAAGCTTCTTCAAATCAAGCAGGTAAGGAAAAGGCTCATCTGGAAACCTCTTTTTCCAAGCAATTGTCCAAGGCAAGTGAAGAAATTAGAGAGTTGAGGGCTCTCTTGGGTGAAAAAGAAGCATATGCTGGTGAACTCGTGCAAAATTTGACTCAAACTCAAGAAGACCTCCGGGTATCTTCTGATAAGGTTTGTTCTTTAGAAAATTCCCACGCTTCTCTTCAAGCTTCTTATAAATCTGCCTTGGCCGAAAATGAAAAGTTAAGAAATGAAATTGCTGACTGGGAAAGAGATTACGAGATCCTTGAAGATAAAACTGCCATTGAAGTGAGTTGGGCGTTTTTAAATTCTCGCCATGATACCCTCATTGATGTTAGCCAGGAGAATTTTAACTTGGAATCTGAGTTAGCCAAGATCAAAGAGACTATTGAGAAGACTCAGCAGAACCAAGATTTTTCCTCTCCCGTGGCTGAAGCTTCTGAAAATGTTGAAGATGATACGGGTGTCCCCACTCTTTCAAATCAAGTTGAGCCTGCTGCTGTTGATGTCCCTGCTTCAGTTCCTTCAACTTCTCAGTGAAAATTTTATGTTGTTTGAATTCCTTTGTCGTTTTTTTTCTTTTTGGTGATATGTGGTTGTAACCCTTGGTCTTTTTAAGGGTTTGTTGAAAACGTTAAGTCCCCAGACCTTTTATGGGGCACTTTGTATAAATAACTTTTGATTTATGACTAAGTTCATACTTAGTCTAAACTTTTTTTTTAATATTAAGAAGTTTCTGTTGCTGTTTGAGCTTCTGTTTTATTTATTCTTGCCTTTATTTTTAAGGACTTACTGAATAACTTGCATTTTTATTTTTCAAAAATGCTTCTGTTTTTTTTAGCTTCATGAATACTTCAATTAATTATGAATTTTATAAAAGAGGGCCCTTTTATATTCGACACTTAATGAAGAAGACGTCTCAACTTCATAATGGTGTTAATATACGATAAAAGAAATAGGAATACACATGTTTCTTGAAATAACTTTGACAAGTTTTTATTTGAACTTTGTCTAGTTTTGAATAACACTTTACATGTATTGAATTACTTCTATAACTTTCTCGTAACTGTTTTTCTTATAAAAAATTTCAAAAAAGAAAATGAACACAAGGTTTTTATTTATAACCCGTTTCGGTACATTGCCTTTACCCTAACTATAATAAGGTTTTTTCTTTGGCCTTAGCTCGTGACTTTACTCTGCACTTGACTTATTCAATGAGTGAACTTCTCAGGCTTGATCTTTGATTAT